GGACATGACACAAAACCGAGCGCAATGGCGTTCTAGGATTCATATAGCCGACCCCACTTAGTGGGAAAAGGCTTTGTTGTTGTTGTTGTTGTTGTTGTATGCTTGTTTAGCTTCACTTTTTCTCTTCATTATTTCTGAGGGAGATTGCCGCAGCCTACAGTCAAGAGAAGGAATTACGCTTCTTCAAGGAGTTCGAGGATTCTGTCTCTCGAAAATTTCAACAAGCGGCAAGGCAAGGACAACTCTTGTGCAGATTCTATCCAGAATAACAATTTCAACAAGCAAGGCAACGACATCTCTTCTTCCACGGTGACGAGGAGGAGCCACCTCAATAGAGCTGTCGGTTGTCTGAAAATTCCGCTTAGGCACTCCCAGGACAGTGCCATTGATTTACTCGCAGTACTTGCGCTCTCTATAATGTTCATGCCTTTTTGTGTTGTATGGTTCAGGCAGCGTCCATTGAAGCATAAGCGAGGGAAACAATTTAGTATTTCGGTATGTAATCTCTGTGTTGTAATTTTAACCTTTTTGAGAACAATGCTTCTAGTCTCCATCAATTTTTAAAGTAAAACAATTTTTCATATACATTGTTGTTGTTGAAAGTAAGAGAGGATTTCATAATTTATACCGTGCCTCATCCAACGGAAAGAAGGAAAAAGAGCCACACATGTCAAAACCAAGTCAATACATAACACATTATACTTTTTTTTTTTTTTTAACTTTAACGAAAAACTCTTGGTACTGTTTAACGACAAACCACATTTTTATACTAAAAAGTTAATCCTAATATTATTCACTTTACCATTTATTTTGTCCTTATCGTTAAAACTCAAAGTTTTCAAGCCATTCTCATTAGTTTTTTTTTTTGGTCGAAACATAATATATTATCTGAATCATCAAAAATACTATTAGTATAAATTAGCTCATTGAGAAAATTTTCTCAAACCAAAGTAATCACTAATGAGTTGTAAAATCATAGAATCAAACGAAGTAATAAACTAAGGGATGTGATATCCACACATTCCATTTTACTTTTCACATACCTTTTAGTTTTCAACTGTCATATCGGATGAATTGAAGAAGATCAACAGACATAAATTATCAAGGGATGTGTGAGAAGTAAAATGAGATGTGTAAATAGCACACCCCTAAACTAAGGGTAAACTTTTCCATGAGTTAGAAATCAAACCTATCGAGTTCAGACTGCTACTTAAAGTAAAATAGGGAAGAATACAATTACCTACAAGTACGTAGAACATCTCCAGTCAGAGCAACGCGAGGTGGTGTCTACAAATTTAGAACAATAAGTTATTCGCTCGCTATTTATTTACACAAAAGACATTATGAAGCTTCACATCGATTTTAGTATTCAAAACCTGTATGAAAAAGGACCTCTGAAGGAATCTTGGAGCACAACAAATCAATCTTTAAAGTAGATTTACACAAATTTGAAACATCTTATTGCTAATTCATTGTGAAACTAAACTCATCATCTTCTGCCTTAGTGTAGATAATATAGGTTGTTTAAAAAAAAGTAATAGTATTATATTAAGCCCTTTAGCTAAAGGGGTCTTCATTGTTTGATAGAAACGGGATCCAGTTTTGGGGCCCATTTTACATCCAATTTCAATGATCCAAACAATTTATTTTTCAAGTTACACTTCATTAATTATCCTTACAAAAAATTGGCAAAATCGGAAATGTTTGAGGTATCTAATTGAGGTCAAAGAAATTGACAAACGTTGTGTTCTAAGAAACATTGAAATTTCATTAAGATAATCAAATGGGTAAACGGTTTCGAGATTGAATTACCATTTTGCAAAGATTATCTATGAATGAAGACTTGAAAAATAAATGTTTTGGATCGTTGAAATTCAATATAGAGTAGGTCCGCCAACTAGTTCCTATTTTTATATTAAAAATAGGGATCCCTTTGAATGAAGGCTATCATTATTTTATTGGCAACCGCCTTGTAATTTAAAGGATTAAGAACATTCACTTTTGCAGTTGGTGTCCTATGATGTATTTATTCTTCCCCACACCACTTGGGTAAAAAGAAAAATAGTACTCTCGACGCCTATAGCTACTCTAACGGACGTACAAAACTTATTTATTTTTCAAGTGCACCATTAGAGTCTACGAGAAAATTTCAATAACGTAATATACTTATTTTGCTTCAACCGGGGTGGTCAATTGGCCACCCCACTTGATGTGCACCAGTAGAGTCCGAAAAGAGAATTGTCGTGCATTACATACTTATTTTGCTTTATTAGGCCGGTCGACTGATCACTCACACTAACACCCGAGTGTGCATCAAGAGAGTCTGCCTGATGGAATTTCCGTACATTGTATACTTGTTTAGCTTCACTTGGGCCTGCTAGTAAAAGACTATTCATTATTTTGGGCCAAGCTGAAGACATTTAAAACTTGAGCTTTTCTCAAACACAATATAATGAAAGAAAAGCAACAGCCTGCTATAAATTTAAAAGGGGCAGAGTTTATAATTTCGCTACAACTTGCGGGGCACTTGTCCAATTCCACTTTTCCAAAACGACAACCACCATCCTCTCACAATTTTGGCGAGACGGTTCTCGACGGAAGCGGAGTACCCACCTCAAGACTCTCCGCCGTCTGATCATTCTCTGGAGCCTTCGCCGTCCGATCAGAAGCAGGATGCCTCACCAATCGATCCATCTCTTCGAACCCCAACCGCAGGTATTATAAATTGACCTGCCGGCTGCTGCGGGCATTTCTGTAATTTCATTTCCATATGCAAGTTAGGGTTTAGCGTTTTGGCGATTTAATTTCAAATGATGAATGTGGCAACGTGTTGTAATTTCATTTCTGTTACATTATGTTTGGATAGGAAATAAACTTGGAATTTGGATTAAAAACAGAATTTATAAATTGCCACGCACCAATTTCCTTGTTTGGATTCATAAACATGGAAATTTAGAATTTCCATATGGAAAAAAACTTGGAATTTGGGTCCTCCAATTCCCAATTTTAAATTTCATGTAAATTTTTTATCATTTTCTAATTATTGTAAGATTTAAAAACAACAAATTTCATTCAATTCTTCCATTGTTCTTTTAGGTTACCCAAACAAGAAAATTCAAAATTCTATTCAAATAATTTTCCATCAATTTAAAAAAATTCCTTACTAATCTTAAATTTCTTCATTAAAAATGTTTAAAGTTGATTAATAAATTCTTCATGATGGGAATGTACAAAGAGCCTTTGAATGAATTTGCATATTTGTTTTTTTCCAGTAAATTGATAATTTGTTATGCAATGCAGATAAATGTTTGGAATGATGTTTTGCAGTAGGGTAGTGCAGTTCCAGTCATGGAAAGCTTTTGATAATGCAGCAAGGGTGATTTCCAGGAAGGGCCCCCTTGTATAAATTGGAGAGGGTAATGGTGCCATGGATGCTTTCATAGGATATGATTGTTGTGCGCCTATTTGGTGTCGTAGTGTGTTGATTCTGGGTTTGTAAATGACAGGCTAACCGATCGCATTGGGACAATCTTACTTCCCATGATGGAAAAACTGTAAGTCAAGGTTTTCTATTGCATGTTTATTATGGATTTTAATGAAATGTTTGATCAAGTTGGTTGTGTTCGGAGTTGGTCTTCATGCAATAAAATTGCTTGCTTTGTGGAATGGACTAAGTAGTAAGACAGGATTGATGCCTTAAAACACTGATAACATATTCATCCTGAGAGTGCCATATATTCGGCTTTCAAGGCTGAACCTAATGAATTCAAATTCTTTTGTTTAAGTAGGGTTTTTTGATCTGGATAACACATAAATATTACCTGGATACAGTTGCTTCTTCGTGAAAACAGAATCGCTGGGACTATTATGTGGCAACCTAGTGAATTTTTGTTTTAGTATGTTTGCATGAGCCTTCACAAGAAAGTCAGTAACTGAGGCTGGCATTTGTATTGAGTCTATTGATCGAAGAGAAACAAGCTCCATATGTTCATATGCAGATCGATTCTTCGTATTTTGGAGTTATTATTTCCCCTATGTCAAGTATATACCATCAATATTGGAATGTAATCCAGTACACTTTAGCTCAAAATTAATTTGCTATCACCTGAAATGGACCTGATTTCTATTATCAGGTTTTATTGAAGGAATCCCTCAAACTGCAGCTCCAGAAGATAATTTTCAGGTATGCTGAATGGATCGTGAATGACACATATATGTATATATCATTTGTAAAATACTCTTACTGTACTAGATTTTTATTTTATTCATTCGAAACTATGTTGCAGGTCTTTCCCAGAATACTCTAAATTTGCGACAGTTCGCTGTACTTCTCAAACTGAGGCAATATATTACTTGCGAAGAACAAAGGCTCCTGCCAGAATGGTCAGATTTTGATGCGTGTTCTCCAGTAATCCTGGTATGAGAATAAGATAATGAATTTTTTGAGACCGTGTTTTGTTTACTGGATTCAATTCAACAATTGAAATGTTCATTCCTTTTGTAGCAATGGGTATCCCATTCTTGCTTTTAATCCGAAGTCCTGATAATTCCTTGCTATTGCCAATAATCTCTTTTAACCTTCGTTTTATAATTACAAGTATACCGAACTTTAGCTTCTGACCGTTACAATGGGTAGAAGAATATTTGCGATCAGATCCTATGTTTCCAATAAATCTTTGAAATGATATGCTACTTTAAGATTTTGACTCAAACATCTAATAGGGAAACCTTTTAACTTATGGGTAGAAAGTTTTCCGGTGTTATCATTTCATTCATGTTTTAACTTATGCGTTTGTCATGGACACTATCTTCAGTTCATGAATATTAAAACATTTTTTCGTCCAACTATGTTATAGCATGCGGATTAGTAACACCACATGACTGATTGAGGGTCAAATTGATACCAGTAACAATAGAGATTTTTGTGTTACCTGTGAGACATTCAAATGACATGGTGGGAGAATTGCATCAGCGAACTCGGGATAAAGATAAGAGTCATAGACTTCATTGTAAATTAACCATTAACAAATGAAACATTCTTTTCTTATTCTACTATATGAAATGCTGAGTTCAACCTTACATGATGTCACACAAATTTGATACATATAATATCCTTATTCAAATGATTTCTTGCAGTCCCGTTATCCTAGACCCTGTGGTCGAAAAAAATTGTGGTCACCCACCATTCGATCTTAAGTTCTCCACTGTTGGATTAAGATCGAAAGGTGGTTAATCACAATTTTCTTGCACAACAGTGTCTACGAGAATGGGGCTTACATTTATATTTCTAGCCTCTACCTCTTAAATTGAGATATGATTCTCTAATTTTCTTCAATTTGTTGACAACAACATCCATAAGCATCCGCTTCGGCGGTGATATTGCAGAGCATGAGAGTCCGATTTGAATCACTGTAACTGAGCATTCCTCCAACCTTCTTGCTTCAAGTTGGCTGCCATCTACATCTCCACATTCAATGAGCAATGAAGGGTCAACTATGTCAATGGCATGGTCAGGCATCGCCATGGTAGCGAACTGGCGAATGCTTAGACCATCATTGAACATGTCATCTGTAGGTTTTCTTCCTGTAAATATTTCTAGCAACAATATTCCAAAGCTATAAATATCTCCAAAGATGGAAACTTGACCTCCCATGCCATACTCTGCCATTCAATACTTACATTAGGACTTAATTTGGCCTAGTGATAAAATATTAGGAAGAGAAAACATTGGAAGTGATAGAAACTCATACCTGGAGGAATGTAACCTATCGAACCCCTTAACCCGGTTGACATAGTTTGACTTTGAGATGGATCATCAGACTCTGCCAAGAGGAACCTTGCTAAACCAAAGTCACCAACGTGAGCTACCATATCTTCGTCAAGAAGAACATTACTTGGCTTCATATCACAATGAACAATTGAAGTTTCGCAACGGTGGTGGAGATAATCCAATGCTAAAGCAACATCAATTGCAATATTGAGTCTTTGGATAAGGCTCAATCTCTTGCTTTGAGATTGCTCATCATCTCTCGGATGCAACCACATATCTAGGCTTCCATTCACCATGTACTCAAAAACTAGACTTTTGAAATCTTGACCCTGATTGTCAATGCTTGAGCATGAAGTTATGACCTTGAGAAGATTACGGTGTGTTATTCTTCTCAAAGCTTTGCATTCATTCATAAAACTCTTGGATGCTCCTTGTTGTTGAAGGTTTAATACCTTTACTGCAACTAGAGTTCCATTACCGGGGGCTATTCCTTTGTACACCGAACCAAAACTTCCTGAACCAATAAGATTTTCCCTAGAGAACCCGTTAGTTGATTCAAAAAGTTCTGAGTAAGAGACTCCTGATTTCCAATCCTTATAAGAACGTGAAGTTGTAGGTATACCTCTTCGCTTTTTAAGCATTGAGCAAGCAACAATGGAGCAAGACATAGCAATTATGAAGGCAAGTGCACAAGCTACTGGGATGACTACTTTTCGGGCAAGTAGTCCTCGAGATGAATGAGGCTTTATGTTGGGGCAAGCAGGTAAATGTAATTTCGAGCTGCCACCACAGAGCTTAGGATTTCCAAGAATTGAGAGACCAGTTGCATTTGAAAAAATTCCTTCTTCAGGCATTTTACCCTCGAAATTGTTATATGAAAGGTTGAGATGCCTAAGAAATCTAAACTTGCTTAGAAATTCAGGAATCTGCCCGAATAAGTTATTGCGCGAAAGATCCATCTCTTCCAGGCTTCTTAAACTTTTAAGAGATTGAGGAATTATTCCTTGAAACTCATTACCTCCCAAATACAAACTCACCAGCATAATACAACTGCTAAGGGTTGGGGGAATTTCAGCTGATAAATTGTTTCCTGATACATCTAGCTCTACTAGATTTACCAAAAGACCAACTTCAGACGGTAGTGAACCAATCAAATAATTGTCAGACATTCTCAAAAAAATTGAAAGGGATGAAAGCCCAAAAATCTCTCTAGGTATGGTGCCTGTTAGACTGTTACCATCAAAGTCGAGCTGTAGTAGATTATGGCAATCTCCTAGACTTGGTGGTATATTTCCCGCAAATCTATTGAATTCTAGATGGAGCTTTAACAATGAAGTCAAGTTACCTAGGGACGACGGGATTGGCCCAGAAAGATTGTTGCCGCCCAAAAATATTCCTTTCAACTTCTTAAGCCTCCCAATTTCTTCAGGGAGACTACCACTGAAATAGTTATACTGCATTTGGATGGTGGTCAAGTTTACAAGATTTCCAATACCCAAAGGGATGTTTCCATGTATCAAATTTACCCCCAGAGTAAAAGATCTTAATGTGGTAGAAAGATTGGAAATGGACACAGGCAATTCTCCTCCAAATTGATTTTCCGCAAGAATTAACGACTCAAGACTTGTACAATTAGCCAAGAATTTGAGAAAGTTAAGGTCGCCAGCTTTCCCACTTCCCAGTCTATTTTCACCAAGGTTTAGCTTAACTAAGCTTTGTAAGGATCCAAAATTTTCAGCAGGGAGTGTTCCAGTAAGACCATTTTTAGGAAAGGAAAAAACTTGTAGTCTAGAAGCATTTGACAATGATACAGGAATATTTCCTGTGAATTTGTTGTCACCACCGGCAAATATTTGGAGATTAGGAAGAGTAATGCCAACATTTGGCGGTAGCTCTCCATGCAGTTGGTTTTGAACAACACCAAACATTGATATGGAAGTAATATTATAGATTGAAGCAGGGATTATACCAGAGATATTGCCTCCTTGAAGTGTGAATCTTCGCAGTCTTGTTAGCCGCCCGAGCTCTTTGGGTATGCTTCCTTGCAAGTTGTTAAAGCTAAGATCAAAGTGATGCAGAGAAGAAAAGTTCCCTATCCAAATCGGAATGTTTCCGGTGAGATTGTTATGATCGAACCCCATATGATTTAATTTCAACAAGGAACTGAGTTGGTTTGGAATTGACCCAATAAGCTCATTGTAACGAAACTCAATCGTCTTTAGTTGTGTACACTGGGATAAATTGGTTGGCATTTTCCCACTGAAGGAATTGTGAGACAAGTTGAGAAAGTGCAGGCTTTGCAGATGACCAATTTCTTCAGGAATTTCACCACGAAAGCTGTTGCTTCCTAGGTTGATTCTAGCAAGATAGGAAAGATTTCCTATAGAAGGAGGTAAAGAGCCTGTCAATTTCTGATCTTGCAGGTTCAACATGAGGACTCTTTTAGTGTAATGGTTGCACGCAACGCCTACCCAACCGCAGAAATGGACGGATTCATTCCATGAGCTCATGACATGGAGGGGATCTTGAGTGATGCTTTTCTTGAAGTTGAGTAGTGCCATGCGATCAGTTTCATTTCCAAGACTAGTGCTGGAGAGTGCCGCAGATCCCAGATGCATGCTCATGCATAAAAGAATGATGCCATGAAAGAGTTTAACCAAACTCAGCCTGCCTCCAGTAGTACGTGCATGCTCCATCCTCACCAAAATATAGATTCCAAATAAGAAACTCTGTTTTTTTTCTCTCTTTTGGCTGTGAAATTAGAAATCAAGTTTCGTTTACATGAATGCATACGAAACACAAATACACGATATATCTTATCACATAGAACATAATCTTAACTGAATTATAGGCAGTGATTGCGAGGAGACTGAAAATAGTCCACAGCTCCCACCGTGTCTAGCAAGGAATTGGAAGAGCAAATTAGTCTGCAGCTCCAAGGTCTTTGTCCTCACAGTCAAATTGGGCACAATTACAGGCCCTACCTCGGGACGGAATCACCGAGTGACTGATTGCATGATGAAGACTTAACTAATATTTTACGTGTTTGAAGGGTTCGAATGGTTTTCTAATTGGTGAAGAGTAAACTAAGATTTACGTGTTCATTGGGCCTTAGTTTTGTCCTTGTTCTAATGACCCAAAAGAGAAGTATAGGGAAAAATAGAACTTGAAGAATTTTGAGATAGCTAGCTAGTAAATGTGACGACCACCGAAAGTGAGCTCCCATCTAGCGAAGACTTGGAAGACCAAATTCTGGCCCTTTTGATGGGAAGGACTTACAAGTTCCAAATACACCTTTTAGTATGCTACCGTTGTGATGCCACGGTTGTGTTTGTTATCAACAATACAGTGTTACGTGTAAGCATCTTTTCACATTGTCGGATTGTTTTTGTAGGAAACACTTCTACTCATAAAGACTTCTACTAAAAGTACTTTCATTAGAAACATGTTCAAATTTGTTTATTACTAAAATTCAATTGCTTTTATAATAACTTGGAAGTGTTTATTGAATAAGCACCAACTCTTTAGAAAGTACTTCTATGAGCCAGATGCATTTTTAAGTTTTCTACCAAACTTAATCAGAAATGCTTGTAATTGTCATAAAATGTTATTAGTCTTCCAAAAACAATTCCAAACATCCTCTCAATCCACATCTGTCGATGGCCTACCACTCAATGCACTACCTACTTTATTAGTTTTCACATTCAAGATGTTTGTAATTTGGACTCATACTTATTTTCTATACCTGCAGGGCCTACCACTCAATGCACTACCTACTTTATTAGTTTAATCTCATCAGTCATCCCAAAGTGCTTTACAAAACATTTGAGCATTGTCATATCTCATATACTCTAGTCTCTAGCTGATAATCCGCAAAAAACTAGCAAAGGCCATGGAAAAGCGACAATCAAATGTGTACAAGATTATTGGCGATCAAATCTGGATTAATTACCAGTAAGCTTTGAAATGATAAGTTACATTGGAAGTTAAACTCAAACATCGAAGCGTAGCTCGGAAGACGCAAAACTGACAACAAGGCTGGCATAATGCAAGTCTAGTCGTTGGTATCATAATAGAGCCTATAATATGTCCTTTTGAAGAGAACAACACAAGTTTGACTAAAATCCTTCGTTTACTATTTCAAAGCAGAGCTTATGTTATAGGGATACTTTTAGAACTTTGTTAATTGTTTGTTTTATTTCCTATTTGAACATTAGGGTTTGGTTTTATGTTTTGAAAGTATAAATACATCTTATTGGTGTAAGGATTGATGCTTATTATCAATCAAACGTGAGTTTACTCTCTCTTTCTTCCTAGTGAATTTAGGGTTGCTGGTTGTTTTCTAGAGAAGGATTGTCGTCACAGTATCACACAATTGTGTGCACTGGGATAAATTGGCTGGAATTTTTCCGTTGAAGGAATTGTGAGACAAGTTGAGAACGTGTAGGCTTTGCAGACGGCCAATTTCTTCAGGAATTTCACCATGAAAATTGTTGCTTACTAGGTTGATTCTAGGAAAATAGGAAAGATTTCCTATAGAAGGAGGTAAAGAGCCTGCCAATTTTTTTATCTTGCAGGTTAAACATCAAGACTCTTTTGCAAAATATTAGCGAAATCGGAAATGTTTGAGTTATCTAATTGAGGTTAAAGAAATTGACGAACACTATGTTATAAGAAATATTGAAATTTTATCAAGACAATCAAATGACTAAATGTTTTCGAGTTTAGATTGCCTTTTTGCAAGGATGATCTATGAATGAAGACTTGAAAAATAAACAATTAGGCTGTTGAAGTTCGATATAGTATGGACCCGCCAACTAGTTCTCATCTTTATATACAAAAAATGGGGATCCCTTTGAATGAAGACTCTCATTATTTTATAGTCGCAACTGCCTTGTAATTTAAATGATTAAGAACATTCACCTTTTTATTGTTCAAAAGCCAAAAAAGAAGAAAAGAACATTCACTTTTACAGTTGGTGTCCTATGATGTAGTTTTCTTCCCTGCAACACTTGGGTAAAAAGAAAAATAGTACTCTCAATGCCTATGGTTATTGCGACGAATGTACAAAACTTATTTATTTTTTAGGTGCACCATTAGGGTCCGCATGAGAGAATTTCAATAACGTTATATACTTATTTTGCTTCATTCGGGGGTGGTCAATTGGCCACCCCCACTTGATGTGCACCAGTAGAGTTCGCAAAGAGAATTTCCGTACAATAAATACTTATTTTGGTTCATTAGGCCGATCGGCCGATCACCCACACTAACACCCCCCGATGTGCACCAAAAGAGTTCGCATGAAAGAATTTCCATACATTGTATACTTGTTTAGCTTCACTTGGGCCTGCTCACAAGAAGACTATTCATTATTTTGGACCGAGCTTAAGACATTTCAAACATGTGCTTTTCTCAAGCCCAATTTAATGAAGGGCGTGTCTTGCAGACAATCCATGTGGACAAGGATCTAACGGCTGAAAATGGATGAGCTAATGAGTAGAACTGGGTCGTTGTGACCGGTGCATTTAGAAAATTCAAAATTTTTTATTCAGTTAGCATGTTTTTGTTTGATGGAGGGAAACAGGGGGCAAGTAGGTTGGCCGTTGCGCGCATTGAAGAGGGAAAAAGAGGGGAAGAGAGGCAGACATAGGGAGTTGGAGTTTGGAATGGATTTGCGATAGATCGAAGTTGGGCTGCAGTTGCGACTTGGTAATCCCATGACTTTAAATTTTTTTTGTTCACTGGGTGTGTTTGTGACGGCTAGGGAGGGGTAAATTAGGATTTTCTCTGCCTAGGAAGAAGGGCAGAAAGATGGAAGTGTTGAAGGGTGTGTGCGCGCTCGATTTATAAAGGATTGAAGATGTGCTTGGATTGGAGTTGACACGGTCGGTTCACTCACAAAGCAACAAGCAATAAAACCAAAACGGATAAAACAGCTAAACTGTAAGACAAGTAAGCCTTTCCAGACCATACAAGTGCATGGCGAGCCCATACAAAGGGTTTGGTCAGAAGAAACCCAGATTTTGAAGGTGAGTGTTTGAATAATTGCAGAACCTATGTTATAATGCATTTCCATTAAAGTGTGGTTTTTTTTTTTTTAACCTGGGATTTGAAAACATAATGGTCAGTGGCTATCAGTGGATTTGGTTGAAATCGTGAAAGTGGATTTTAGATATATAGGTGTAAACGTTGTTCTAGCTTATGGTAAGTTGTGTTGTGCTTATGTAACTTTGTTGTAGGTAGACATTGAAGTATAATTCGATTAGGGGGGGTGAGGTAGAAGTACAAGAAATTGTCGTCGACAGAGAGGACGTAGATGCAGGGATGAATTAGGTGCTAGAAGGGTTGAATTTGTGGTACCAAGAGTAGATGAAAAGTTGAGACCGAAATTGAGAATGGAGTTTGATTTGTTAAATGAAGGGTATAGGTTTACAACAATTATGCACTTGCAGCGGGGTTTGGGATTCGGGAATATAGTAATAGAAAGTCCATTGATGATAAATGTTGGTTAAGAAAAGAATTTGGTTGTTGCAAACAAGGGAAAAAGAGGGAAGAAAAGAATTTAGTAGACTATTGAGTTTCTTAATAGATACAATGATAGGCACACATGCAATGGCTTAGGGTTTCCAATCATAACGTTTCATAAGCCGTCATAAAAAACATGCCCGTTGGGAAAGACGTGTGCATGGAATACTGCCATGATTGCCACCCATTGAGCGTCACATTTGTCCGCCTTCACATAACTCAAATACTCTTCTAACATTATTGAAAACCCAACCGGTAAATTGCACAATGTTGTTTGGCTTCAGCAATAGAATATTGAAAACCCAACCTGCAAATTGCACGATGCTGTTTGGCTTCAGCAATAGAACTAAACTTGGCCATCGCTGCAACTTCTTCCTATCCACGACAATCAATCTCTATGCCCCAACTTCCTACGATGCTATTTGGCTTCAGCAATAGAACTGAACTTGGCCATCGTTACAATTTCTTCCTATCCACGACGATCAATCTCTATGCCCCATATTCATCATATTAGACATATGAGAAGGAACCATGTTCATCATGGAAGGCATAGGATTCATATACTGAGGCTGCATAGAACCAAGAAAAAACAACATTCATGGTAATCAACTGTGACTGATTGTTTCTTGCTTTATTTTTGTAGAAGCATGTTTTTGCAATATGATTATTCCTGTCACAAATTTGGCATTTCTCAAAATCAGAATCAACATCTCTATATATGCAAGTAGCAGCATTATGACCTTGTTGATTATATAACTAACAAGTGACATTAGACAATGAAGCACCATTATTAATCTGAGATGGATTACCAAGAATTCCAAGAGCATAGTCATGAACAATTGGTTTGGAATTATAATACATATGGCCTTGATTGTTGTAATACTTTTGCCCTTGATTATATGCAGTTTTGCCTTTACCTTTATACTTTGACTTATTCCATCATTGTAGAATTGAGATTGTCCAGAATTCCCATGAAAGCCATTTGAGTTCTGAAATCTAGAATTGATAGACCCTTGATATGCAGAAGATGAAGCCCCAAAGTTAGAATCTTGATTTTTAACCATCATTGCAGTAGGAAATGAACTGCAAGAATTGCTCTCAATTGTTGCTTCCTCTGCAAGTAACTGAGCACGAAACTCTTTAAGTGCAAATACATTCCCTCTTCCTCAAATTACGCACCTGAAGGTGTTGTATTCAGCCGGAAGACCATTAAGTGCTAAGATTACAATATCCTCATCTTCAAACTTGATTCCAGCAGCAACAAGGTAATCCCTTGCTACTTTCATGCGTTGCAGATACACATTCACAGAATCAGACCCTTTCTTGATTGTTTGAAGATTAGACTTAAGTTGAAAAATAGAAGTCTTGCTAACAATAGAGAACTCTTGGAGACGCACCCATAAGTCTCTTGCACTTGTATTTCCAATTACACAAGAGATAGCCATAGAAGACAAGGTTGCGGTAATGAGTTGCATCAAAGCCCTGTCATGCATCTTCCAAACCTTATAATCATCAAATTCAATTGTTGGACCCAACCCAGTATAAGCTGATAGGTTCACAAATCTCAGGA